ATTAATTAAAACAATAATTTCAGAAAAAGTATTTGTTAAAAAAAAAATTTATTAATAAAATTAATAATTATTTAATATAAGTTTTCAAAAACTAAAATTTTAAGAGCTACTTTTTTAAAAATACTTTTAACTATTCTTGGTTAAAAATTTTTCAAATAAAATTAATGAGCTAATAATCTTAGATAATAAAAAATATTATTTTATTATAAGAAATTTATTACTTAACTTTAATTTTAGTATAGTTTGATGGAAAAAATCAGAGTATAAGTAAATAACCAAGATGGAGGATTAATAATGAAGTTTAAAAATCTATTATATCTAAAAGCTTTTTTAAATGAAGCAAAGATTAAATTATTTTCAAAATTACACTTAGAGACTCAAGCTATTGATAGGTGTTATGTTTGAACAAAAATTTAGCTTGTATAAAGACTTGTTGCTTTCTTCCACTTGCTTTATAACAATTTTGTATAAACATTAATAAATTAACCAAGTACTTTGACAGTGGATAAAAAAATAAATTTATTCTATAAACTTTGATGTAACTAGTTCATGTATGATAATATAAGTCCAATTCCTATTTTCTATGTAACTTGTTACAGTTTTCTTTTTTTAGGCATTAAATTGGAAGTAACTCACACAAGAATCCTCTTGAATCAAGCCTTCTTTATTCGTTCATTGTTTAATTAGCATCCTCACTAGTAACAATAGTAATAGGAATGTAGAAAATTTATAAATAAAAGGAAACACTGTAGACCGCTAAGAAGTCGGTTATTAAAAAAATGCATCACTATTTTATGAAATTTCGTATACAGAACACAATTTCTAAGAATGATATTAGTAAACAATCTTCAAGTGATGAATTTAATAAATTTAGCGTTTTAATTCAAGACATCTATCGTGAAATATCGTCGTTTTATGATCCGGGATGCATTAATTTTACCGTCGTGGTAACGCCTTAAGCTTCGGCCTGCTGTCGTGGACGATCGCCACCACCACCGCGCCTGGGGCCACGAGGACGTTCGGTCAGTGGATTAAGTGCCACCGGAGGAGCGAGGGAAACTCCTTGCAAATTTTCATGGTTCAGCGATTTAAGAAGTTCCTATTTTAAAGGAATAGGTTAGCCTTTGTGATATTTAGTGAGTAAAACGCTATTTCATACCTTTGTATCATGATCGATTTCAATCTCCTTTGCATCATCCAAAGCAGAAACATCAGGAACATAATTATCTTTACGTTCACGTTCTTCCTCTTGTAATTTGAAAGAAATACCACGGACCGGACCGCGTTGAATACGTTTCATTAAATGTGTAGTAAATCCAGCAATTTTGTTCCGGAGTTTCTTGGATCTACATAGGAAATTAACATAATTAATAAAAATACACCGAAGAATTTTATGGATATAAAAAAAAAGCTCACGCGATTATGGCGACTTCATCACAGATCTAGTTAATGGATTAAAGTTAAATTATCGTTTTAATAATTAGTCGGCTCAGTTCCAATAAAATGTGACTCACTTTCTTATTTGTTTGGAAGTCAAGGGTAAGGCGTGGATAATATTTTTCAATAATAACTCGGGATGCCTAAGAAAGTAATCAATGAGTTCGTATCTGAGAATCAGAAAAAAAAAAGCGATCAAATGATTTAAGATTACAAATACCTTCTTCACGGTCTTCGTTCTGACACGACCCTAACGAAAATTGCAAAAAAGAAAATTATTAGTTATCTATTGGATAAATGTATTTTTACTTGTGCAATAATTGTCTTTAATGGTAAAATGGTTGGGATATATTTGAGGGTATTAACTTGAAATTAAATTCCAGATCGAATGACAATAGTTAAAGCGAAAATAACCGAACACCTACCATTATGACTTTCTCGGTAGTTTCAAAAAGGAAGGCATTTTTTTTTTTGATCTCGCATTTATATAAGGTTAATGTATATCACGTGCGGGAAGTTTTGCATGGATTTTCCGATTGGCCGAAGTAACCAAGCAATATATATACGTGCCCTACACTTTTGGATTTCTATTTAAGATTTTTATTATGATCGAAGAATTAGAGGAGCAAACTTTTGAAGAAGAGGACATTGAAGTATGAAATACTTGTCTTTGCGTAAGATCGAACAGAAATTATTTTACAATCTTCGAGATTTAACTTCTCTATAACCATTAGTTCTTTGAATTTAAACAACTGAATAAAAATGCATTGAGAGTACAACTTTCAGAAGACGTTGTTGACGAAAAAACACCCTCCTATTATTCCTTACTTGCAATATCTAATATTTATGGACTCTTTGTGGTTGCAACAACCAAAGGTACATTTTATTTCAGCAAATTTTTCAGTGTCTTGAATGATGTCCGCTCTAATCGATAGGTTATTTAATTATTAAAATTGGGTTCAAAATCAACATCTCAGGCTTCATTTACGCGTCATCCCAAGATTTACGCGCAAAATTCGAGACCTCTGGTGCCAATTCAAAGGAACGCCTTACTCAACAAACTCATGTTGATATATCTGAGGGACGCGTTATATGTCTTCGTTTTTCCTCCGATCAACTGACATTGATCGTTGGAATTGAAGGCGGTCACATCTTGTTCTATGACGTTACTCAGTTTGCTTCAAAGGTATTTTCACCCTGCCTGTGCATTCCTAAGCTTGTTAAGTTTTTATACTGATCGCAATTTCACTTTAGTCATCCGAAATTAAACCCTATCAAAGAATGGCATTTGACGATGAAATTAAAGACCTAAAACCAAATCCAGAAAAAATAAGTATAGTCGCCGTTTTACTTACATCTGGGAGAGTATATATCAAAGATTTTCTGAAGAATGCTGAGATTGGCACCATACAAAGCAATAAAATGGGAGATCAAACAACTGCTAGTAAGTTTCATTTTTATCAATTACAGGTTATCACCAGGATGGATTATGTATTCTAATTTTTGAATGTTTAGTATGTTGGTCACCAAAGGGTAAACAATTAGTGTGTGGCAGTCAAACAGGAAAACTCATGCAGTATACCCCTGAAGGAGCACCTAAAGTTACCATTGAACCACCGCCAGAATTGCAACAACCTGCTTACTACGGTAAGGTCAATAGTTGCTTACGTAATGTGATATTCGTTTATTCATTAATCTATCCATAATATTTCTAAAGTTCAGAATGTTCTCTGGCTGGAAAATACACTGTTTCTCGTGGCTTATTTTCCGGTTATTCAAGAAGAACATTCCGAACATGAGGTTTACGTAGTGTCTCGAGAAGTTGGAGTGAAAACGATATATTATAAGTGTCCATTTATTTGCAGTCCTTCAGATCGCGAAAAATCTCCATACTTATTTATGGAAGTAATAAAAGATTGGTAATTGGCTTCAGGATTAAAAATTTTTTTGTTATTTACAGCTATTTCTGTAGACTTATATCTCAATTATATAGGGGTTCAAACTTGAAAACTCTTGTATTCTGTGCAAGTGCAAATTCTGCTGATGTAAATTTAATTGCACGCGACGGATCAAATAACTGGGCTAGTTGGATTCCTGCGGAAACTGATCGTGCGGCCCTTCCATTGTCAGACGTTCACGATCAAGATACATTGCCAGTTGGATTTGCTCTTGATTTCACATCGACGGCTCATTGGACCACCCGTGTGGATGCAGAGGAAAACGTGCAAATACCACCGGTTCCTATACTATATATTTTGAACGACGAAAGTGATATTTTAGGATATCATTGTTTTCACAAAGATGTTTTTACGTCAAAAGAAAATTTCTCTGGAATGTCAGCTCCTCGAGTTCTTCCCACTTCTGGACATTCATTAGAACTTCAGCCCCCCAAAATTAATACACCACCTCGTACCGATGCGTCTGACACTCCTTTACCTCATGCCTACAATAAACCTGACACTCCTTTACCTCGTGCCTACAATAAACCTGACATTCCTTTCGCGTCATCTGTTAAAAAGGATAGCATTATTCCTCCGATTCCTATTGTCAACGAAGAAAAAAATGCCATCAATAATAAGTTTCCATTTTCATCTACCATCGACTTCCCCTTTCAATTACCAGCGAAGAGTATTACCCCTGTGCCTACGCAGAATAAAATAACGCCATTGCCTAATAGAGAAGCATTTAAAATTAGCTCTCAAATACAAGCACAAGGAGTTAGTGCTCCTCCATCTGTTGTCCCTCAGAAACAAGTTGTTGATCAACGACAAACACAAAATAATTTGGAGTCAAAGAATCCACATGATGTTCAATATAATAATACCAATAACTCTATTAATGAAGTGTGCTTTCCACTTTATTTATCTTTAGTTTGCGATATTTTATGAAATCTAAATTCCTACTATTGTCAATTGCTAGCTCCAAAAAATAATAAAGGCGATGGAGAGCAAATACACTTCAAAATACCTTACCCGATCAAATGAGCGAGATTTGAACAACATCAACACTTGGTCTCTTGGTGATTTATCTGCGATTACCTCGGAGACGAAAAAGTTAGAAAATGAGGCAGACTACAATGTTCAAGCATTAAATTATTTGCAACGCCAGACAAGTGATCTCCTTCATGAAGTTAGTCAAGGTTAATATCATTTTGCTAGAACAAAAGTTTTATCCTTTCGCATAATAATTTGAATTCCATGTTTTTCTCAATAGATGTCACCAAGATGAAGAAGGAAATTGAACACTTGATGGGTACTCCTTCTAGCATGATCACTGTGGGACACCGTGGAATGTTGCAAACGCGCATTAAAGAAAAACTGGTGTCCACTTTCAAGGTTCAATCAATGTTTTATCTTATTGCTTGCCGCGTGTTACATGCTGCAGGACTAATCCATATTCTACACCTCATAAAAGTCCGTGAAAGAGAGTGTTAAAGAAGTAGAAAAGCAATTGAACGCGTTGCACGAACAAATTCAGGAAAAAAAGAATAAAAATACATTAAGGTGTTTTTTTTTAACTTATTGTGAAGTTTTTTATATTGATTTTTTTCTTCATTGTTAATTTCCTATTATTTTAACAACTAGACAGTCTCCTTTGGAATACATTGACCGGTCCATTTATAATATTAGTAAAAGCTTATATCGTAATGCATCTCAGGTTGATAACCTGAGTGCACAGCTAGATAAGCTTTCGCTCCATGCGATAACAGAAAGTGAAAGTTACACCAATGAACCTTCGTACGTTTCTACTCAGATCACTGAAGAAGTCAAGTCCATTATGTCCCCTACACGAAACATTTCTTATTCGGTAGATGCTGCAAAATCTACTGCTGCTTATTTGAATAAGGAACGTTTTTGCGAGAAACTCAAAAGCTTGAATAGACTCAAACGAAAATCTCCGATTAAAACCAATATTTTCGAAGAAAAAACTTTTGGTTGGTTTGATCTTATATATGTGTTGAACACGTCTGTGTTTCTATTATTAATTTACGATGTTTATTTCAGAAATTGGAGAGAGAAAACAAAATCATCCTATTATGATTTCTCCAAAGAAAAGTCCAAGTCCGGTTAAGGTTCATAATATGCAAACACAATCCCATGAGTCCAAAATAATAAGTGCGCAAGATGCATTGACTTCTTTTACGAAAGCATCAAGCCCCCTCCGAAATGTATTATCCTTTTCCGATTCTGATAATAACATTCAATCTAAATCATTTGATCATGTTGGTGATAACTCCCCTTTGAGAGGTACAAATAGAACTTTCGGTGTTCCTTTTTTCAAGGTTGAAGATGTTGTTTTGTCGCCGACATTAGGAAGACAAGAACTGGGAATAAGAAATAATGAATTAGATTACGAAAACGAACTTGATGAGACTGAACATTATGAACCTCCGAAGGGTGTCTTACCCAGTATTCCCAATGTATCCATTTTCGAGGATAATATGAACCGTCGGTCTAACTTTGATATATTAGATTCTGGACCCACAGAGATTCAAGACTTAACAAGTGCAACTCAAACGTATTCCAGCAACAAATCATTAGAACCTTTGGATATAGACCAAGCAAGTGCGGCGGAAGATCGAGACGATAACTCCATAAAACATGAATTTGATCAAATTGTGGACACCGATGTATCAGGAATTTCCAAGATATCTGAAGGTTTTGAACTAAGTTCAACGATTACGGTTCCATCGGATAATGTCGCAGAAGAATTATCTGATTCATCTGAGTCTGAAGTGGTATCTCCCCAACCTGTTGGGTCTCATCAACATCCTACACTAGAAACAGTTCAGGATGATTCGAGCACTCAAGATATTTCTCAAGATTCTGTGGATCTGAAGTTTAATAAAATTGTCGCAACCGATACTTCAAGATTGTCTCGGATCTCGGAACTTGATCAACATTATGATCGAGTGGAAGAAGAATCGAATACCAGTGTTGTGCAATCAGAAAAAGAGTTATATTCAGCGCCTGACATATCCGAGGAGAGTGCGACTATAGAGCAAGGTACAAACAGTAATGATGAGAATGTTGAAACAGTTTCCGAAATAAAAGACGAAATAGAAACATCGTCACAAATTGAAATCGACAAGTCTGCCTCTGATGAAGGAGTTATGAATTTAAACACGGAAGCTACTGAATTAAACGAAATAACTGAAAATTTTTCTCTCGGATTGGGGCAGTCATCAAGTCCTGTTAATTTACCAAATCAGACTGGTGGATTTGGCACCTTTGGAGACTATTCATCGCTACCAAATAAACCTAGTTTTGCATTTGGCACTCCTTCGCCTTCTCCTTCACCGTTTGGTGCAGGGTCAACGTTTGACATTAATAATAACACAAGTATTCCACCCGCATTCGCAACACCGCCGACTAATGTAAACGCATTTGGATCATTACCATCAGACGATTTGCAACCATCATCAGCTTTCGCTCAACCTTCGTTTGGTCAACCTGCAACGCCTAACGCCTTTGGGCAACCAACGTTTGGTCAAACGGGCTTCGGACAAGCACAAGCTCCTTCTTTTGGTCAACCGGCATTTGGTCAAACAGGCTTTGGACAAAGACCTGTATTTGGGGCGGCTTCAGCACTTGGAAGCACTACTCTGAAACCTAGTGGGGGCGGTTTTGCGCGATTTGCAAAGTAAGTCCGTTCTTTCTGGTCATTATAAATATTGATCCAATTTTAACTTGATCGATATTTTCTTTAATAGTAACAGTGCATTTGGAGGTACCGGTTTCGATGGATCAGAAAATGCTTCCACTAGGTTGTTTTCTTTTGTAGTACATAGTTTCTATTATTTTTAATTTTTGACTAATATTTTTTTTACTATTCTAGTACTGCTAATACTGTGAACCCATCGTTTACTCAGTATCGAGGATGATAATTCTAGATACGCTGGCTAATTCTTTTTCTAGTCACTTGATTTTATACCTGCATTCTGATCGAATAAATTTTGATACTCGATAATCTAAAATGTTGCTAAACTTATCATTTGTTCTACATTATGTTAATGTTAGAGAGCAATATCCTGTAGTCAAGAATGACTTTTGTACTATGAAACATATAACATCACATTAATTGTCCACATAGATGTACAACCAAGGAGGAGGAATTTTACTAATCAAATTCTAAAATAAATAAATAATATTGCTAGAGAATTACAAAAAATTACATTTATTTTTTTAGGACAAATCTATAATATAAATAGGAAAACTATATATTTTATTATATACACTGAAATATTAATTTAGGTTATATCGATATATAATAAACAAATCTTAATGTCGATCGATTTTTTTTTACTAAAATAAGCTTAAATATATACATAAGAAATTGGTCTTATAAACTTACACATGGAGAGTATATTAGAACAGCAACGTAAGGCTCACGAAGAAATCGAACGTTTGGAGCAAGCTATTGTTGGTCAATTTATTAACGATCCTAAATCGGTGGGTCTAGTTTTTGTAGAAATTCCGCGTAAAAGTTAATTTCATATTTACAATTTTTATTTTATTAGCACAAGGAAAGATTAATTCGCGAACATAGAGCTAGCGATTTCCTCGACCGAATTAGTTCGAGAAGTAAATTTTTATATGAACTTTATGATGATGCTGATGGGTGAGCATTTTTATTTAATTTTAATGGTTACTTTCATAGATTAACCTCAATGTTTCTTTGGATTTCGAGTGCGCGTAAAGCAGAAATCGATGCGTTATCTGGAACTTCCGAATTTAGTGAATTTTACGGACGTTTAAAAGCAATTAAAGATTATCATCGTCGATATCCTAATGAAACCGTAGAACCGTTAGAATTAGAATTTATAAATCAAACTAAATTAAATGGGGAGGATGATGGTAATATAGAAGATTTTTTTTTCATCACACTTTTAGGTCTTATAATCACTGACTTTAAATAATACCTTAGAACTGGACAAACTTTTTTCGGGTGAGGAAGGATGCGGACGATTCCTGGATCTGCACGCTCTTCATGAGCAATATGTAAACCTGAAGAACGTGAGGAAGCTTGATTATTTAACTTATTTGAGTGAATTTGATAATTTCTCCGATTACCCAAAGGAGAATAAGCATGGGGAATATCTCAAGTACCAACTCATTGTTTTATTAATCTTTGCACTTATATTTTAATTATTTTTAATAAAATCTGTTGCATCGGTTAGTTATTTGCAGAGTCTGCGTGATTATTTAGAGAGCTTTTTCAAAAGGGTTAAGCCGCTCTCCAACTTGGATGACATTAAAAAGGAAACCGAAACCGATTTTAATCAAAAATGGAAAAATGGGACATTTCCAGGGTGGGAAAGGCAAATTGGTGATGAAATTTCAAGTAGCCTGTTCTGCGTGGCATGTATGTATTCATTGTCTGAAAGGAAAATTTCAATTGAATGCCCGGAATTGACATTGTTTGTCTTATAGGTCGAAAGGGATACACAAAGAGAACTGTGTTTGATGCTCATTTAAAAAGCAAAAAACACATGAAGGCTGCCAACTCAATGATGGAAAAAGGTGTTACTAATGTGGATCAAGAAACTCAAGATCAATTGATAAGGGAAGCCGAAGATGCCAAAGATAAACGAGAAAAAGAAATTGCATTTATGGAAGCTTTGATACAGAAATATGCAGAAATACTGGGCTCTCAACGCGAAGATACTAAGGCAAACGTTGAAAGGAAACGAGCTTTGACTGATAGAGAGCGTAGAGTAAATATCAAGTTTTGCTTGTTACTTAAAACTTAAACGTTATATTTATTCGTCTTAATTTAGATGGAATTAGAAACAGAAGAAATAGACGATGTAGAATCTGAGTCTGAAGACGAAGATAAAATTTATAATCCCCTAAAACTGCCACTCGGATGGGATGGAAAACCAATCCCGTATTGGCTTTATAAGCTTCATGGCCTTGGAGTTGAATATCCTTGCGAAATATGTGGTAATTATGTGTACATGGGTAGGAAGGCATTCGATCGGCATTTTCAGGTAAAAATGGTTTTAAGATTATCCTATCAAATATTCCAAAGTAGAAATATAACAACTTTTTTTGTTGGATCATTAGGAATGGAGACATGCACACGGAATGCGATGCTTGGGTATTCCAAATACGCGACATTTTCATGAAATCACATTAATAGAAGATGCATATGCCTGTATATATCATGTTTTCAATTATTGATCTTCATGAATAAGATTGTTAATTGCACTTTTCATTTTATTGTTAGTGTGGGAGAAACTCAAAAATTCAGGAAAAACCGACGAATTTAAACCTGATACAATGGAGGAGTTTGAAGATCAAGAGGGAAATGTTTTTAACAAAAAGACGTATGATGATTTAAAAAGACAAGGATTATTATGATATGCCTTTTATATATTGGCTTATTTCATATCAAGTGTGAACCTTACTAGCGATTTAATTCATTTGATTTGAAACAAGACAATATTCATTAGAATATTAAAATCCGAAATAAAAATTTGATTATAATCAGCTGGTTCTAAATATTTATGTAAATTGCAAAATAAATCAACATGGATGATAGATAAATTCTTCGCTGATTCCTTTCTCAATATTGTGTTTAACAAGTTTCGTCAATTCTTATTGAAAACATGTATCTACATATTTGGTCAACGAAACGTAACTTTAAATGGCTAAAAAGTCGTTAAAAACCAACTTTATTTAAATATTTTATTTATATTTTAATTTCAACAGACATAAATTTTACAGTATATACAATATATTGAAAAATTTTTATTATAATTATAATAAAATTTCCAATAACACCTTTAAAGCATATAAGGTTTTTTTTTCGCATGAAATACAGACTGGTATTTTTTTATGAAAACGTGTCAGTTTTATTGAAGAAAATAAAACTGCCGTGATACATAAAGAATTGTCTTTTATTGACATGTAAACTCCGCAGTTTCGTGGCAATATGCTATTGGTTCCAAAAAATTATTTTTTTATTTTGGAATCCACAATTTTTTGTGAAAAACGTGTATTCATTTTTCTTGACTGCATCTATTTAAAAAAATTCACTTCCACATTCGTTATTCATTTGAAACTAACCAAAGATGTCAGACCAAATCAAAGAATTCATTGAGATTCCAAGACAGTTCGCAAAAGATGGCTCGCAATTTTTGAATCGATGTACGAAACCTGACCGTAGAGGTATATTATATATTTCAAGAAATTGACTTTTTATATTCGATCCAAATTATTCGTATGAATAGATAATACGAAAGATACTGTATTAAAATTTCTCTCATTTGCTAAAAACCAACGATGAAAAGAATTTATCAAGATTTCGCAAGCCGTCGCCATGGGATTCTTAGTTATGGGTTTCATTGGATTTTTTGTGAAATTGATTCATATTCCGATCAATAATATTCTTGTGTATGTATACCCTCATTCCACGATTCGCTTATTACTTTACTAATCCTCTCATTTTTCTTTATACCTATAGTGGTGGCGCATAATAAGAATAATTCGACAAATCGCATTATATTACATTACATGTATGCAAACTTTTCAATTATATTTACCACGGGTTTCAACTTATTATTTTTGTTTTTGATTTAATCGTAATTGGAATATTTCGAAAAATAGAATTAGTATATAGGGTTTTTTTCTGAAAAATTTTTGAACGAAAAGACTTTTTTCCATTTTAAAATAGATTAATTAAAATCATTATTTCTTGACTTACACTGTAACGTATAAATAGCCTGCATAAGTATTAAAGATCAAACTTTATATTTGAGGTTTTAATTAATTGATATTTTTTTTTTAAAAAAAAATATTTGATGTTATTCAGCCATTGTTACCATATTTCATTATTGAGAATTGTCTTTATCGGTATGAAACCTCAAAAGTTAATATTCGAACGTATTATATGATTGAAGATATTATAATAGATATAAAGTGTTATTAGAAAAAAAATGACATTATAATGATCGCAAGTAATAAAAAAGTAGATGGAAAGCAATAATTGAAATAGTTTGAATAATTGGAATAACGAGATAATAGTTAAAGATATAAAGAAAAAGGTCATGTAATTATTAAGTTAATACATTTAACGAAAAATATTATTGCTTAGTAAATATTTGTAAAATAATTATTTTATAAAAGTGTGAAATAGCATGTGCCAAGTAAAACATCTGATTAATTGTATTTATCCTTTTTAATATTTTAAAAATATTTTCACTAACAATATAATTATTTATAAATGTAATTGAGTTATTTTTTTAATATTTATTATTAATTTTTGAAACAAACATATAGATATATAATTATTGTAAAAACAATATCAATTATATTTTTATTTATAATTTAAGAAGCAATGATTTAAATCAAATAAAATTTTGAAAATAAGCTTGTATATATACAGTGTGTTGCAAAACTTTTTGGAATTTTTTTAAAATTTTTATAAAAAAGAATATAATATTATTGTTATTATTAACCATTCTTATATTTATTTTATTTAAATTTACAAAATTATAAAATTATATATTTTATTTTTAATATAAAAAAATTATTTTAAAATTTTAAAATTTAAAAATTATACAAAAATTTTTTTAAAAAAAGTAAAAAATTCATATATTAAATTAATAAATTAATAAATTTATTGTATTAAAATTTATAAAATTTTAATAATTTTAATGAAATTTTTATTTGCAATCAATTTTTAATACTTAAAAAATTTAATTTCTAAATTTAATTTCAAAAAATTCAAAAAATATTTTTATATAAAATTTATATTATTGTAATTTTTTTTTTTGGGGGGGTTTCCCCAGTAGGTAAACATCATTTCTTT